TCATGACAAATCTATTTAAATCTTCACGTGAATTTATATTAACAGGTAAGGTTGATGGGGATATTTGCCAACAAAGTAATGCATGACATCGGCATGATTCATACAATGGACCTAAAACATTTTTAGTAAAAACACAAAATTTCTTTTATTAGTTTCATTAATCAGGGAAATAAATAGATTTGTCATGATTCAAGCAGAATAATGGGAAAAAAAGTTCAACTTACCATTTCAAACAAAAACACATATCAATTGAAAAAGTTCAGATAAAAGGCAATATCGGTAGATTCTCGCTGTTCAACAGAAGTACTATTTATTTTCTTCATTTTAACGAATAGGAAAGCTCAATGGTATCTGCTGGATTTTGATAAATTTTAGTAGATTATCAGAGATTATAATGGACTTCGATTCGTACTGAAAAATCTCTTTGATGATTCCTTCTTTCTAATTCAATTTGATTCTATTCTCATTAGATATTGTAAAGAGGATCGAGAGACTATCCATTTTATTTTCTGCTTTTATCTCGAACATAATTAAAAGACTAGTTTCATCATCTTACTTATCTTTATTTCTATAATATAATGAAGATTTACCATACTCTCTTTTGAACTCTTTTCGACAATTGTTGAAATTCTGTTCATTTAGTCAAAATAATAAAAATATTCTCAATGATGAATGAAAAGTATGAACAATAGATGAATAAATGCTGATTTTATTCTATTCAATATTGATTAACTAAAAAGGTAATCGACCCAAACTCTAATTAGCATATTCTAATAAACTGTAAGGTTTTATCAGTCATTATTCGTGTAAAGAACAAATAAATATTCATTTGGTATTCGATTTGCAGAGAGAAGAAACAAAGAAATTTTTTCATAATAAAAAAGACAATTGATATTGTAAATAGTTAATTTGGTAGTTATAGAAAGTGTGTGTAGTTGTAAACTTAAAAACAAGGTGACATCTTTTGCAAGCATAACAATCATCAAGTTTGGTAATCAATAGATGTATGACCATTGTCAATTGATTGTTGAATATTATTTCCATCTTGTATATATTGAGCACGTATTAAATTAACATCTGATTTATATAATGAAACTATTTTACTGAAAGCTTCCAAAGTAATTGTAACATAAACATAGATGTACCATGAATATTTGGAGCCATTAAACCATAATTATAAGGATCTATTGCTGTAGACAAATAAAAATCTTCTAGATGAAAAATAAAAAAAAAGAAGTAACACCGACCAATTGGCATAAAATGCATTAAATTTAAATAATTAATTAATTGATTTTATTCTTGTTTCGATGATTGATCTAATACTGATGTTGAAGAAAAATTTTCCATATCTAATTTAATATTGATATTGTTCTTTTTTAAATGCTCATCTTTAATTGTTGAAAGATTTCCAAATTGTTTTGATAAAATCGAACGAATATTTTACGTATGTTTTGATGTAAATAAATGACTCTAAATAAAAAAAAAGAAATTTGCATTCTTATGGAAATGAAAAAAAAAGACAAACTCTTTAAGGTTTTTGAAGTGCATATTTACATTGACCTAATTTACATTTATCATTCGTTGCTTGCAACTCATTTGGAAGATCGGATTTTTGTTTTCTTTTTCACGAGCATTTTGAAGCCAAATTTGTGCAACACGTTTTTGTAAATCGATTTCTTTTCCTAATAATTGACATTCTGGCTTAAAAAAAATAAAAACGAAAATAAATTATATAAAAATTCCAAATTACATAGTCGATGTTGGATATTCAAAAAAAAATTTGTTTCATTAATTTAATTTGTAAAGGTATCATTTGTATTCAAAATCTTCTTTGTTCATTTAAACCATTTGCTGATTGTTGAGATCCAGCTGGAGATAAATGTCCATTAGAAAGATTTTTTTGTGATTGACAATTTTATTTAAAATGCTCATTATCATTACTTGATTGATCAGTTGAATTATTCGATTCATTAGTAAAATATTCATTCTCAGATATTTCAGTTTTAATTAATTTTTTAGATAAATCAAGTGGAAATTTATCATTTAATTGAGATGATGATGGAAATAAATCAAAATCAATTTCATCTTTTCTTTTATATAAATCATTATGTTTTGATAATAAAAGATTTTCAAATGATGATTTTAATTCAAATGTTAATGAAAAATGAAGACATATTTTATTAATAAGTAAACCATTTAGATTTGAATTTGGATCAAATTTAATATCACCTTTTCTTTCTCTAGCTCGAGTGTTTTGAAACCAAATGTGTGCAACACTTTTTTTTTTTATTTAACAGAAGATGATATATATTTTAACATTTTTTATAATGGATTTAATTCAATTGAATATTTTGACATTAAATAATCTTGTTGTTCAGGAAATATTGTTGTTCGATTCATTTTTTTTGATTGTTTATATTTGACATTTTTACGATTTTCATCACCTGAATTTGACATATAGGATGATGATATAGTTGCTTTTGCTCTTTCATTTGATGATGAAGGATTTGTTAGCACTGTTTCAGATATTACAGATGTTGGAGTTACAGATGTTAGACTCCTATTAATTCCCTTTTGTTTTAAATAGCACTTATATTATATATATAATAAACTCATTTGTTTCATATTGTTAACAATAAAATTCAACAATTTATTTTGAACTGATAATTGAACTGTTAGCTCGAAATATCTTAGAATCTGCAAATCAGTGTTATTGAACTGCCAATTGAGTATCGGACAACAGAATATGTACTTATGATTGTGAAGTAAATCAAAAAATGAAACATAGTTACTCTCTCCAGCCATATATATCTCAAATTTCTCTTTAAACTCTATAATAAGGTCCACTATCAATAGATGTGAAGACTATGCTTTTTCGTTGAGAAAAGTTTTTCTCATGTTCTAAAATAAATGAAGGATTATATAGACTCTTTTTAGATTCGGTCAAGTACTGGATACTGGAACCCGCGAAAAATGGTTCTGTGCAAGAAAAAAGTACTTCGAAGAGTTTTAGAATTTTTTTTGAATGCGAAACCATTTTTAATGGATACTGCCACTGAGTACCCGAGAAAGCCTAAAAAGATTCTGCAATCTCCTTTTTTTTTCAGATTAGAGAACTTTTTTCTAACAGATAAGACTGTATTATATTATGAATTGCTTAAACTAAGTTTATAGTAACAGATTTTGATAAAAAAAATATCATTTACAAATGTTTACATATAAAAAAATTATTAGCAACAATCTTTATGTGACTTCGTAATTTCAACGCACCACTGCGTGTATTATTTACTTAAAATTTGTATAGAAGTTTTAAATTTTTCTTTAATTATATAAAATTATTTCGATGAGCTGAGCCATCAAACTTGAAGAACAAGAGAAGCCAATACTTGACATAGAGTTTTCATAATCTATAAGATCGGTTATAACGATAAAATCTTTTCAACATGTCAGCGTATATCATCAAAGAGAAACTGAAGCAATCCAGAACTGATTCCTGATTGGTAGAAATAAGGCGTTGATAATTAGTGACTCAGCAAGAGCAGATAAAGAAAATTGATCATACTGATAAGCTGATGCACGATGAACACAGCAGCGATGCTCTCAGTAGTAATTCATTCGCTCAACGAGTTCATCTGTGATCAGTTCCTTTTATTATACTACTATTTGAGTTCAATTGTAATCAACATCAAGACTCTTGATTAGTTAATTATATTTCTGGTATGTATTCTATATAGTCATTAGCACTACACTAAATATGTTTATTTATTTAAGGTCTTGGCCAGTGGTCACGCTGACACTTCTAATATATTACGTACATTCTTAATCTGAGGTAAGTATAATCTATAATACGATGTAAACCGATCCGTTGTGGACACCGAGCCGTTTTGGCATAATTTTATCAAACTTTTCTTTTTTTGTGTATGAAAACAATCCAATACTTTTTCTGCAGTCGCTCTATTCTTTCTGCTTATATCCAATAATCACGCTTTAAGTGTTGCTATCAGTCACAGAATGACATATCATAAGATGATTCAAATATGTACTCATCTCTATCAAGAAAGCCATGATGATCTTGTTATTATGCCTATGGTAAAAGTTGAGCTCGATAAGACCTACGCCAAAATCAAAGTAAAGTTCTGACCCTATTTTATATCCACACTTTATATTCGGGAATGAGTTTCTCAGCATATCTCCTTTTACTTTATCCCAATATAATGAGGGTTCCCTTTGCTGTCGGTTAAAACTAATAAAAAAATGACAGAGTTGTATGCTATTTTTTGAGCAAACAAGATTAGAATCAAGGCTTTGTCATATTCGAAAAGAAAAAATCATCATAAATATTTCATTCTATGATGACATCATCTTATTTTGTTAAATTTTATTATCTAATTCGTTTATAAATTGAAATTTCCTTTTAGTGATCCTACATGAATTGTTACGTTTTATTACAGATCAATAGCGTTGAATAATGAGTACACGACAGTCACTTACTTCATTTTTTTTATTAGAATTTTTCTCATCAGTACTTTATTTCATCTTTGCGGTCATTTTATTTTTCAATCGTCTATTTTTCTAATACTTTAGCTAAAATACTTTGTCGATAATAATCAGTGGTTAGTTTCAACTGGCATTCTCATTTTAAACTTATTGTGACGTTTGTCTTTGATTTTAGTAAATTCTAATATGGAGCACAGATTGGTTTTAAACAATCGAAGCAACACTAACATAACTAACAAAGATATGTGTGGTATATTTCATCAGCGTTTAAAATATTTGAAATTCCGTCGCGTTCCAACAAATACAGACAAATCAGTTTTTTACCTTTTTTTTCAAAAAGAAGAAGATACATATGTGGCTCTCCGAGAAGCTCAGGCAATTAAAGAGATTTCACTTGTCAGATATCGCCCAATCAATCCTATTGATTACGAGCTACCTTTTCGACCATTTCCACCAAATCATATAATCAATATCAGTCGCTACGCATTTAGAAATTATCTGGATAGATTTGATACTGTGGTAAGAAAAGAGACTTATCAATACTAGATACTATGTTTTGTCATGTAGGAACTTTTCAAAACATTTCTTCGCCGTCTTTCAGAACAAATAGTGGCACAATGCATAAAAATTCCTGACGGTTTGGTTTTCTATTTTTTAACAGATGGTTGCTTATTATTTTTGTTTGTTTTCATTGTAGTATATGAACGAGTTGATAAATTACACACGTGGTGGTGGATGAACGAACTATTTTCAGTCAAAGACAATTATTCTGTACAAAAACTTTTAGATGTGTTTTTCAGTTAGACTCTTTTCTATCTTATTAAGTTACTTATTACTGTATTAAACTATTGAGCATGATTTTATTCGTTTGATTTGCGCTGTTGATAAGCGATGATGTCTTTTGTACGAGTGTTTTATATATGGTAAAAGTGTGATTGTATTGTACTTTGATATGTTCTACTAATTAAATATAGCTTTATAGTGAAAACATACGATAAATAAATTATTGGTCAATTAGTGTAACTGTCTCAATAATATTTTAATATATGGTAAAAACACTCCTTTAAATAAAAGTAAAAGTGATCGTCTTTTCTTTAGAATGATCAAAAAAATCTCGACTATGTCCGAGTTTTGGCAATGCCGTTCGTACTAATTACAGTTGTCGATTCTTTCATTTTCAAATTTTCGTCTGTCAGGTGTGTTTATATGATCACAAGAGATAATTATCAGAGATAAAAAAAGGCATTAGTTTCTGTTCTTAGAAAAGGCGGTAACGCTTTGTTGTTTTATCTTTAACCGTTTAATATAAATATATATTTTGTTTATGTATACGCTGCACATTGACTTTTCGATTATCATTCCAGTTATAATCTCATTTGAGTAGGTTGCCTGGTAGTAAATAATTGGTACGGAGTTTGTATGTATAATCAACAATTCCACTGATGATTAGTTACTGAGAAACTCTGTTGATTCCTTCCATGAACTTCTTCTTTGCATCGACTCTTCATCTCTATTTCTAGATACCGATAAACACGTACTTGGATTAGACAGAAAATAAAATTTTCCAAATGTCTCAACGTAAACCTATTATGATCAATACTAGTCAGGTATCAGTATCAAAATGTTTTCTTTCATTAATTAACACATGCGTATAATTATAGTTGAAGAACAATCCAATATATATTGCAATACCAATGCCAACGATTATCTTCCAAATGCCATCTATTAGAATGATGCTTGCACATGAATTTGGCAATGAACATCGTAGTGGTTTAAACAACAGATGCATTCATTGTGCTCATCTGCAATGCGAAGAAGGTGAAGTTGACGAAGACCATACAGATGAACATGATATTGAAGAAGTAGTTGGCGAAGAAGACTTGATAAAAGAAGAAATTGAAGTCGAAAAAATTAAACAAGAAGAAATTAGAGAAGAAATGATTTTTCAATATCCTCTGAACGAACAACATGATTCTAACAAATATATACTTCCTGGCTATGTAAATGTTAACGAATGGCCGTTGTCACCTTTATCGGAAGCGACAATAAAAGATGAAATCTATGACTGGGAATAGTTTTCAGTCGATAAGGCTGATGAAAAATACATGGGAGTGGAGTCAATTATTTCATATTTAAAACATGGAATGACAAAAATCAATAATTATGTACATATGTATAACATTATTAAAAATTGAAAAACTTTTTGTAACATATTAACTAACTGTATTCTGCATGTGTAGATCTTTATTAATGTTTAAAAAATAAATGATTCGAAGTGATGTAGCTATAGAAAAGGGGATATTAAACAGCTTGTGCCATCGCTGACTCTAGGCCAGAGTCTTTGAATCTATATGTGATGGCAAAAAGGAAAGTATTAAGTATGCTTTTATAATCAGAAAAAAATTGTTTTCTTAAAATTGATAATATCCACTTTCAAGTGAATTTCTTAAATTCATTTTTTTGAAAACGTGACTTCCCAATGGCTTATTATTGATTTCTTTTCTCTACAGACGCGTAAAAGTGAGTTTTGAATGACGAACCCAATAGTATTAAATTGTCTTTCAACTACTTTTTATTTGACCAGTTTCATATGCATGCTCGTCCTCAAGATAGCTATTTGTATTTATATGCATCAATATTGATTGATTTATCTGATAACAGTCATTTGTTTTCAAACATTTCTAGAAATATCTTATGATTGGTCTGTAATATCTATTAAATATTGACTGATTATGACGGGAAATACAGTTGTTGAACTTAATCAAGATGTTGGATGTTATCTACTAAGATTTATTGATGGAGTAGACGCGGTTAATTTTATCGAAGCAGTGAACAATAGTCGACAATTTTGGTCAATTGCAAAAACATCCAATCATCATTTTATTGAGATGATTAAGGCGTTCCGTGGTCATCACAGAATTCTATTATCACGTGCACTATTTGAAGACTTTACAGATGAATATGAAATCGATGATGAACAACTCATCGTAGTCTCAAAGCGCTATTCTGATGTCATTGAGCCGTCTATACGTCTATATATTCATCCTTGCTTTAGTACTGAAGGGTTTACAAAATTGTGTGAAGTCTATAAGACTTCTCTTTTCAGCTGCTATTCTCGACTCTTACCGTTGAACACTGTTTGTTACAATTACAATGCAGATTTTGGACTTCTTGATTATGAATGGTATGGTCATACAATTGGATCGGAGCGCATGTTAAATGATCACGAAAAAAATTTGTTCAAAGGTAAACAATAAAGAATAAAAAATATGGCATCTAAGGGTCGATAAATATGATTCATTTTAGTTAATACGTATTTTAATAAGAATGAAGATCGAAATGGTTGCTCGAGAATGATATTTGTGCATACAGTGAACGAATTTAAAGAGAATCTGGTCACTCGTTTTTCATCGGATGAATGGCTAGGAGCAATAGACTTCTCAAAATGGGTCATTGCTGGAGGATGTGTATTAAATGCTTTATGTCGATCACCGTTTCCGGATACCAAACAACAAGACATCAACTTGATGTACTATGTGAGTGAAATATTGGATTTTAACAAATCAATAGATATCACTGTCAATAATCTTAATAAAATGGTTTCACAAGGTTCACGGAAAGAAATCAAAGTGGAGAAAATACCAGGCACACCTTGTTACAATGTGTTTCTACCTTGCCATATCCGACTTAAATTCACTTGGACGGATATAGGAAATTCAAAAAATCCAGTTTCACATATTCTACACAATTTTGATATGGATATTTGTCAAGTAGCCTTTACTGGTAAATCTTTATGTCTTTTAATCACTTCTTCATTACGTATATGACCTTTTTTTTAGGAGATAAAATCGTTTCAACATTTCCATTCTTGCAAGCTCTTGCGACAAAATCGTTTATTGTTTATAGTCTACATGCACGAAGTCCAAAACATTTATGCACACGTATAGCAAAATATTGTAACAGAGGATTCAATCTGCTAGAACCCCTTGATTTCGATGGCGATTTTGATTCATTGATGATACAAGAAGAAGTTCCATTGTATCGAGTTGAACATCAACAGTATATTGATGATGACGGTGAGATTCAATTTGCTACAAAAGAATTTCACCGATCATTTCTAAATAATGTTGATACTTTTCGGCTTCAAGAGAAATTCATGCGTATGGTTTGTCCCCAATTATTACAATATGCTTAAATGATACATCTCCAACATATATAAAATGAATGATATTGATCAAAACTTATATCATGTCGAATTTTTTATTATTGTCGATATTTTCAAAAATATATTGTCATTTGTAAAGAGCGAAATAGATGAGATGAAAATCAATTATCTGTCAACAAGTATTTTTTCATAGTCATGCTCTCAATTGTGTTTTCGTTGTTTGATGGATCATTATCCATATGATGGTCAGCCAGATTCGATTTGAAAAAACTTGTGTTGGTTTTCTTATACTAAATATATATATAACTATTGATAATTATATTAGCTTTTATATATTCGAATAAAATATTTTTGAAATTGTAATCTATCTTTGGAATTTAGACAATAATATATATTTATTGTAGATTTTACTAATATAAACATTTACATCTACCTCCAACTTTATTCATTCAAAATGTCTCAATTGTCAAGTAAATATCATGTTGAATTAAGTTTTCAAATTCATATTATATCATATCCCTTTACATAATAGATTCAACAATGAATACAAACATTTTCTCAGACTTATCGGCAATTATAGCTGATAATAAGGTAAGCACTAACAACATCATAATAACCTAATATTTATATGAATTTGATAATAGGCCACTTCGACTGGAACAGAACGAGGAGAAAAAAGGCCCGCTCCTTTAGTGCCTGAATGTCAAGTTAAAAAGAGTATGGCTGATCATCATTCATGCGAAGAACGAGCCTCGAATACTACTTCCAACTATATTGACCAACCAAAATTCGTCAGTGCGGCTGAGATAGCTGCTGCAGCTCGTGCGAACGTTCATATGGTGCCTGAAATTTCTGATGAAGAATTGCTTGAAATGGCTCTTAAATTCGAAAAGGAACATCCTCAATAATCCTCCTCAACGATTTGATAAAATACAAACTGATCTTCAGACGAATAGTCTTTTTTTGTAGTGTGATTGTGGTGTTGTAGTGTTTAGCTTTTCAGATCATCTTAGTTGTTTTTGTGTTCAACTTATACACATATTTATTACTAGTATTTATCAAAAAGCTTCATTATTAATAAAAATCATTTCAGATTAGTAATACGGGTTAGTAGTGACTGATCGGCTGATCGTAATGCATAAAGAGTGGTCGATAAACATTTTGGAGTGAAGGTATGGGTGTAGGTATGAGTGTGAGGATCGGGTATAGGCGTTCGTTTCATCTATATCTACACCGACACCCTCTCAGTGTATGACCACTAAGATCATTTCCTACTCTTACAAAGTAAATAACTCGACTAATTGTTCCGTCAACATTTCTCTGTGGTTCAAATTTTGGTTGCGAGCTGGGAATATTGGTTTTACATTATAATAAATAATTCACGCATTTATAAGTATAACCGTCAATCAGCTTGTAAAATATCAAACGCATCTTTTCTAATAAGATGACCATTGTAATCTTTTTAGTTTCCACACTAATTATTCTGTTCTGGTATTCCTTTTAATTTTTCACTTTTTTTAATCCTTGGTATTGTATTCATAAAAAATAAGAACGTAAACAAAGCCGACAACAGAGTTTTCTGTGCAAATTATCATTTGATCTTTCTTTATACATATAAAGAAAACAAAGCTTTAACGAACCAGCATTCATCTCTTTCTTTTGTGTCAAAATCTCTTCTTCATTTCCCATCTTTTCTGCCTTCTTTATCTTCATTTATTGTAGATATTCTAGAAAATCATCTTCACTCTCTTATACAAATAGTGCGAATCAAAACAAATTAGCAACGAACATCGCAAGCACATAACTCAACATTACTCATGCAATATTACATCATACTCATCCAATTGCTCCTTATTCTGTCCATTCTGCATCTTCACGCGTACTCGAATGGTACCTTTTCAAAAAACACAACAATTGCACATCCTCAATCAGGTCTTTTCCTTGACTATGTTGGCCTGTATACACCATCTGAAAGAATCATTCATAATTCGGTGATTTTTGGAATGAGTAGAGCTATATGTAATTTTCTGGTGTT